TTAAAGTTGTTGTGTATCAGTATTGCTCCACTACTTAGTCTGCCCCATCTCCACGTTTAGCTTCTAGGCGGTTCCAAGATTTAGGACCAAAGAAAAGAAACCAACCCCCACAAAAACCCACAATTAGCGATTGGAAGCGAGCAAGAGCAGCAGCTTGTCAAAGAGCCAATCAATAATGCATGTTGGGGGGAGACCCTGGCTGCCCACTACTGTCCTGCTGAACCCTCCTGCCTGTCTACCTGTCTGTCTTTCAATCTGTCTCACCTCCGTCCAGTGCTTCTCTCACCTTCCGAGAGCCTGTCTGACCTCCTGCATCTGCCTGTCTGTGTTTCTCCGCCTGGCTGTCTGTTGTACACGTACCCTTGAGCGGCTGCGGCAACAAACGCCATGCAGCGGCTTAGACAAAGTAAAGGTAAACAGCATTATTTAGGAAAATAAAAAGGGAAATAAGCAGAGATTTTTCCTAGACTGCTTGGATAAAAGAAAAAAAATATGAAATGTCAAAGTGAGAAAATCAAAAAATCAAATGCTATTCCGCACAGGACAAACTCCAAGGGGCATCAACAACAGTGGCAACAACTGCTCTTCCATCATGTACACCAGCTGAATAATAATCAGCACTGAATTACACAGGGTAGCCTGCTTCAACAAACCTCTTATTACGATCGCCAACAGCAGAGGAAATAGCGGGCGAGCGAGCGGCATGGACAATAATAGAAAACAGCAGAATAAGTGGTGGCTGAGTTGAGGTGATTGGTAGCTGTGATTCATGTTCCTGCTTTTATTAAGCTCATAAGGTATGACGGCTCACACACAGACACAAACATATTCAGTAGTAAGTGGTAAGAGAAGCTTAGCTTAAAAAGGTGCCAAAGCAAGCAGGGTTGTCGGTTCTGGTAATTATTCAGTAATCAAAGCAACGTAGAGCCAAACGAGACAATGTTGTCTAAAAGGAAGCAGGGAACAAAAGCCTAAGACGCCGCGTGGCCGAAACCAGCCAGGGATGGAACAGGTGTCAAGGGTGGAAAAATGTACATCTTGTGCTGGTGGCTCCTCTGACTCAATAGGAAACGTTGACATTAATTTCATCCCACCATCCATCCATCCATCTAGCTCATAGAGAGCTTTTTCTTTATACTGTGTTTTATTCCACTTGTATCACATACGGTAAAGTGGTGGTTTCGCATTGCTCCTGACTCGGGCTCTGTTCTTTCTTCCCGCTCTCATAGCTGCCCGGCACCCTGGACCACTTCAACGTAAACACGGTCTGCTCTCGGCTGGCTAAGGCCCCGAGCCAGACACACCACTTGGTATTTAAGCACAGTATCTGTACCAATGTGAAGTCTGCATGCTGAGAAGCCCCACAGCACAGACACAAAGCACACAGACATGCAAACGCATGCACATTCATACGCAGTGGTTGATTCCAAAACATCCCTATCAGCAGTTTTGTGTGCAGCAAAACAAATGACACCATATATATTTATGTATTTTCATTTCAGTGTATAATGGGATTGTCAGTCCATGACAGAACACAGTCAGAGATCTAGGACCCTTCTTATGTGCTCCTACAAAATTGTGGTAAAAGAAGCACCGCACGCATCCTGTTTACGCTTGTGTTTTTTTAAATGAATGAGAAAGTCTTCTTCCAGGGACAAGGCAGCTGACAATAACACGAGAGACAAAAAGGTGGACATTTTTCGAATAAGAACCTTTCCTATGTAAGCTAGAAAAGTAAACGATGAGAGGTGGATGAGAATGATTCCGCTCATTATATATATATTTTTTCCGTCTGATTCATTCATCCCTGACATTTAAAACTTGTGATTAGGAGAAAGAAATCCATTCTCCGGTCCCCTGAGCTGTAAGCCAATAACCTAACACCCAATACTCCTCCTCGTACACAGCGTGTTTGTGTGTGCGTGTTTGTGTGTTCATGGTACTACACAGGAGCCCCACCCTTTTACTCTCACTGCCATCACTGCCACATCCCCCCCAGCTCCCACTGACTCCCACCCACTACAGATACCATCACAGTAGAAGACCAGCAATTTACAGAGTGGCAGAATGAAGGACACGATGAATGAATGAATGACTGAGACAACAACTGAATGACTTGCAGTGTGAAATCTCCCCCTTTGCAGGATTAGAAAAGTGCGTCGGTACAAATATAAGCACGCATGGCGTGTGGCAAACATTGCTGGAAAGAATGACGATTAGTGTAGCTGTGTTTATTATCTGTGGCCATTGTTCTCCGATAGCTGTAATAATCAGCAGCCTAATTGAATTAAATAGTGCCACAACTCATTGTAATGGTTGGGACAGGGGGAACCAAAGATCCGACCAGCTGTTCTCTCTGTCGTCTTCCTCTGGCTCGCCACAGTACAGGGACAGGCATGTTTTAATTCACAATTACATAAAGACCCATGGCGGGGCGGAGGAAATGAGAACAAAGGATCCTAACGAGAGGTGAGGGTTCATCTGCAGCAGCAGAGCCACCATAATGTGCATGGATTTTTGTGTCGCTTTGCAACAGGCTCTCTTAATTACTGCGCATTCATCTTTGATGATGTCTTTAATGTCTGTTTAAATAAAAAAAAGTCCCGCTACCACAGCAACACACAACACAGCATGAGAGACGACCCGCTTTCATAGAGAGATCAAACCATGAACATTGCACATATTGTTGTGTTGTGTTGCCCTGTGTAGTCTCACAGCTACACAATGCAGAGGACCTGCCAGAGGCTTTCAAGTGCTGGCTGTTCAGTGTGCTGTCTGTCTACTACACAGCTCTCACAGTTACTGCAGGGTGTTCAGTAAGAGAGCGGAGTGGGTGAACAAGTAGTTACAACCCAGTAAACTGTCTCCCTGAGGCAATACCAAAAATCCTCCTTTCTGCAATGACACAGGAAGAAGATAGAGCCAGAATCAAATATTCCATGTTTAAAATTGAGTTGAAAATGTATTGTTTCACAAATCACAACCAATAGCACAATGCATATGCAATCCAAGTACATAACACTAAAAACCAGCACATTTTATTTGCTCTTAATCACCGTTTTGGTTTCTTGAGCATCAAGACAATCCTCAACTGTGAGGATTCGCTGCTTTCTAGCAATCTTCTGTGAAAATAAGCATTTATATAATTCTGCTTTGGACCGTTGATTGAAAAAAAACAAGAAACACAAAGCCATCACATAGGATTTAAGGAAACGTGATTAAAATCATGAGTTGCAAAGAAATTGACAGATTTTTATCAGAAAGGACGAGATTGTTAGTTGCTCTACTGGTTGCCAAGTAGTGACAAAAAGATCAGCTTACAAGCGTGAATATGGATTCCTGCGCTCAATGGGACAAAAATAAAAATAAAAACACAGTATACAAATGGCATGATGTGAAACAACGGGAGCCATGTAGCTCAGTGTGGGTTTGATGCCGCGCTCTTCCCTGTGTCCACATAACGGGCAGAGACACGTCCTTGCTCCTGATCCTCCGCTGTCTTGAACAGCTGCCGTCCGTGTACAAGTATTTGTGTGAATACGAGGCCCATTTTTATGCGCTTTCTACCATAAAGTGAAGAGAATAAACCCGCTGTATAGGTGCCGTTTATTTTTCCAATATTGTTTGAATTCGATCAGATTGGACAGACTGGGTTCATTGGAGAGTGAAGTGCTGCAGTGACCGTGAGGGTCATAACGCTTGATCTTATTTCTCAACACAATCTCAGCCAAAAGACGACGAGGCAGGGCTCAATAACCGCTTGTCTCTTCTGTTTTCATCACAGCCTCACGCTTTCACTTTAAAAACACAGAAAGAGAGAAATGTCTGAAACTTTTCTGCCCCCCTTTTTAACTCCTGGCTGCTTCTGTGTTTGGGTATTTGAAGAGATGTAGAAAAGAACACAAATCCAAATGATTTAGTGGTTACAGCTGAAACCTCACAGCGACACCAGACGAGTCACACGGACGGATTGTTCATTGATCGATTGATTCACAGTGAGGCCGTATCTATCGTCTATGTATGACAGACTGAGGCAGAGCACTGAGCCACGGGTACAACTCGGACCGGGGACACGGAACAATTCATCATACACGGCATCCTCGCTTAGCGTGGCCAACAGCCTCCGGGGACAGCTGTCAAAGGACAGACACCCAACGACACATGGTCATAAGTAGTGTTGAATGTTAGGATCAAGCACTCCTATAGAAAGAAAATAACATAAAACCGCTTAAAACACATAAATACATTGGAGGGTCTTCATTTCCTTTTATTCTTGCATGTGTTAAAAATAAAGTCAACAAAGCCGATAGACACAGACACACACACACACACACACACACACACACACACACACCCCATGAAGTGTTTCACTATAGAGACACTCACACAAGCTTGGAGCACAGATGTTTATCCCATCACATTGCAGACATACAACCGCGGCATACAAGGGGTCAGTTTTGTGCGGCCGGCTTTCAGCCAATCATAAAGTGTCTCGAGCCTGAAACTGTAAAGTGTTTACCTCCAAAAACTGCTGTCTAAAATGAAAACAAAATTGTTTACATTGTTTCCCTCATCACTCATCGTTTGCAGCCTAACGCCAAAGATTAATTATAGCCGATGGCCTTTCTTATCTCCGCTGTTTTGAGTAGCAACACTCAGCACGGCCAGCCACGACACGTGTTGTTTTGACCACAAAGTTGCTAAGACTGTTATTTATCTCTGATGTAATATTAAAAGCTAAGACAGCAAGCTAAAGGGTCATAATTCTGTAATGGCCATTGGTGTGTTTGAGTGGCAGCACGATAGCAATGATTTCCAGCTATTTTTAGCAGACGAAGGGCTGTTATTCTGGGGATGCCCAACAGGCCCCAGGCAGAGTGCACTGTGTACACAAGTGTTTGGCTGTGTGTGCATGTGTGTGTGTGTGTGTGTGTGTGTGTGTGTGTGTGTGTGTGTGTGTGTGTGTGTGTGTGTTGATACAAACAGGGAATACTCCTTACCTTCCGTGGACGGGGCTTGGTCTTGGGCAGCATACAGCATGTCCTTGAAGGCCTGGAGAGGAAAGCAGAAAAATAAGTATTACACAAAATACGGTTGTTTTTCCACATCATATTGAATGAAGGGCATTTACAGTGCATACACTAAGCAGACCATGAATTGAACCATTATTAGCAGCATCTGCTTTTAGAGTAGGAATCAAACCCACAAAGTTAAACTAGTTAGTTGCAGGTACGTCTAGCTGTACAATAGGTCTGCTTCTGCTTCTGCAACATGACAGTGAGAGAGCGGTGTGAGTAATGCTGTGTGTGGGTGGGAGCCTACTGCTGGGCATTAGACAGCCACCTGGATTCCTGAAACATAAATTCCACCGTGAATTACCTGCGAATTGAGACTGGAGTCTGATTCACGAGATACACATGTTACACATGCTTATGTGTCTGATGAAGATCACGCAAGACCCATTGGAGCAGGGCCTGGTCCTGTCTAAATACCCCTCCCCCTCACTAATAGGTGGGAAATAGAGATTCACATCCAGACAGGGAGGCACTGCCGTGGTGATGGCAGTGATGGAAAAGGAGGGCGGGGGCTCTTTGGGGAACTGAACCTACGTTCTCGGCAGTAATCGGCAGGGAAACCTGTAAACAATAAGTAAACCGAGCCTAATGGGGCCATCGGTCCGAACAGCCATTCGTTAACATGATGATGATGATCCGTACTTACTAGAACAGACACGCGAGTGACACTAGTAGAATACAAAAATATTTTGAGTGCCAGATGATCATGTCCTCCTCTGAAATGCCTGAGACGAAACCCGCCGCGTGCATTATTAGTTTGAAGAGATCTCTGGCTCAATTAAAGTCAATGTGGGATCAATTGGACAGCGCTGTCTCTGAGTGGATCCCTGCATGGAGAAACAGGAGCAGAGGGGATGGGAGGGAGGGAGCGGAGGGGGGGGGGGGGGCAGAGGGCAGGTCTGGTTGGGGACCAGATGTCCTCCCAGTGGGGGAGGAACACTGAGGTGAGGATGGGAGGAAGAAGGGAGGTATAGAAGGGGAGGGGTACTCAGCACTTGCCGCGCGGGTGCTTGTGGTATACGTCTTGTTGTTGAACATGCTGATAAATCACACATTTATCACCAAAAATAGAGACGCTGAGAGGAATACTCGCTTGCTTTGCTGCTTTAGACATCCAAACCACATCAATCAGAATAATTAAGGAAAGACGACGTTTGGCCTTTGAACGAATACCAATCACTCACTGAAATCACACAAGCACCTGCTTTTCGTCAACATAATGTCACTGCACTAGTTTGAATTGTAAATGTGTGTGTCTGCATGCAGCCTCTTCATCCGCGCTTACATAAGTGATTAGACTGCAGAGGTAAATGCATAAGTGGCCTTGTTCTCTCGCCCACACACACACCTGTGTCTGTAATTCTCCCTCTCTCTGTATGCCTCTAATATTTAATACAAATACGTTTGATAATACACATCTGAATACAGTTGCTATGCCTTAGCACACACTTTACGTTTTCGGGAATATTGAGAAATGCACTTGGAAAGCAGACATTAAACTCAGCTCATTAAAAAAACGTTTTTTTAATGTTTGCATTTAATAACTATTATATTCACAGGCAAACCCTCACCAGATCTATCCACATCCCCCCGGCCTTTCTCAGCAGCACCACATGCACACCTCCATGCCAAGCAGCTGTTTAGCATATAGGTTTATAACTACGATCCCGCAGGATAAAGCCTCAGACTCAGCATGGACTTAAACATGTCTACAGTATACGTCGCTTGAATAAATTGTCCGTTAGTATTTAAATAAACATAAAACTTTATACACTACAGCTGATGGATAATAAACATATGAGCGACGGTTGGCTACCATTGTGTTTAATGGCCGAATATTTTAATGCATTCCATTAGCTTTCCTAAATGTCCCCTGTCATGGAGTCATGGATGCTGCATCTGTTGCACTGCAGCCTATCAGGCTTTGCATTTCTACGATCGATGTTAAATTTCCTTTTAAGTATTTTCATCTCAGTGACCCATTTCTCCAACGTAAACTGATGGCAATGTTTGTCCTTTCCCTTGACTTGTTTCAGAAGGCGTAAAAAACCTTGAATATGATGTCTGTTGCTTCTAGGTGGAAGCTCTCTCCCTGTATGTCCCGCAGGTAGCGTGGTGTTTTTACAGAGGAAACTCATATGTATAATTTAGATATAGGAAGAATACAAATTCAATGGATAGGGGACCAGCCCTGTTGTTGTACATAATTTAAGAACAGCTATGTGAAAACAATGTCAGGACAGTTTTTTGGGATGGACAAAAGAGGGAAACCAAAACAAAGGGTTCTTCTCTATGTGAGTCTCATACCAATGGTCGATTACAGTTATCTTGGAGACAGATTTATTGTTTCGCTTTAAATCTTATAGAATTAAGAAGTATCAAATATAGACTGATAAAGTCAATCAATCTTTCGTGCTCATATAAATAAGTTATTCCTGTAATAAAATGGTAGCGTCCTTTGATATGGACAATTTCAGCAGAAAAAACATGCAATCTGAAATACAATTTCGGATTCAAAGTGACTCTATTAATGAAATTGATGAAAACTTTAATGTTATTCAAGATAATTGTATTGAATATTTCCGAATACCAACACAAAATGTGGATGACAGAGAAAATCTATCATCATCCATCTCAGGTCAGTGAGTGCCGAGCGGATGACTGGAGGTGTAAAATGGCTGGTGTGTCCAGGCATCTGTCCCTGTGCTCACAGTGCATCGGTGCACACAAAGACGGCACACAAGATGTGGATGTATGGTTAATAATCAATTAAAATGTAATTCCACTGAAGAGTTTTCCTCGCTTCAGTTTGTCCTCTACATATCTGGCACCTCCCCCCCCCCACTTTAACTATGTTGTCCAAGAATTGTTTTCAATCACACGATGATGACAGCATATCATTCACGTCAGGCTGGACGGATCCAAATGTCTGTTGTAGTGTCTGTAACTTAATAATACGCAGGGCATTTTTCCAAAATAATCCAGCGCAGCGAGCCTCTGTTGAGTCGGGGCATGTAGGCTGCTGAGAACAGGGTCTTTGTCTATAATTCATAGAGCTAAATGGAACAGAGCAGCCTTCCCTGTCACTGCATATCTGCACTAAAGCTCTTAATGTTGAACCAGGGGGAAGTGGGGTGTGAATATGAAATACTGCTCAAGCACTGTACACCACCCAACAAAGACCATGTGTGCACACAAAGGTCCCCATAAATCCACCAGACATCCAGACATCAGGTCAGACATCAGAGACCAGAGAGAAAATCCAGCGGGCTTGAATTTTGCAGGTTGATTCATGGAAACAACCCTTCATGTTTAATTTAGCTAAATATTAATAATAACGACAACTACTAAAAATATGAAATAACTTGTCAAAAACAAGGGACAATTACTGAAAGAAATTTGAAGTTTTAGAACAATGCATAATTAATCAATGGGAAATGTCCATGGTGCTCAGTTATTATTGCAAATAATGAAGATTCCCAATAAATCCAAAGAAATGTGAATTTCCTTATATTTATATATATATATGTGCTTTCAAATAAATTACAAAAAGAAATATACGGGCATAATTTAAACCCTTCAAAGTAATTTAAAAAACAACTAATACAGTCAAATGTCTAAAATATTGTGAAATAGCCTTACTATCTACGTATTATTAAAAAATGAATTGTTTTGTTAATTGATCCATACAAGGCAGTTAATTGTTCATTTGTAAATGTCAAAACTCAGCTAACTGAAATGATAAACAATGAATGCTGCATCTGGCTCAACACCCGCAGTCAATTTGCAGTCCAAAAACAACAGGACCCTTATTTCCCCCTCTTCATTGCGTCAGGCTCAACTGAAACCGAATGAAAAGGTTTAAAACGCAGTTACATTTTTTTTTAGAGAAAAAACGCCTACTGCCTCTCGTCTTACTAACTACTGCCTCAAAGAAATCCACGTCTCTTTTGCGGGAGAGTTTTCAAGAATTTCCATATTCCCAAAGACTTTTATTTCCAATAAAAGACACATGTCACTTTACCTCATACTGCAGATACTGTTTCCTCCACTCTGGAGTGATGTGGGACGAAAGATGCTCCGCGAATTTCATTTTGCCGGAGAAGAAAAAAAAAACAGTCCTCTCAAACCACCGTTTAAATCCAATTTTTTTCTATCCCCCAGTCGACGCGACTTTCTCAGTCAACTTGCTGCCTCCAAAAAAAAAAAAAATGCGGCGCGCGCGCTCCTCCTCAACTCCACTGCTGCGTCGTCCCGGTCAGCGCACTCCGGAGCGGATCCCGTCCCACATACTAACTACTTCTCGGCGAGCTTACTGCAAAGGTACAGCGGCGTCTCTCTGTCGCGCTCTTTCTCTTTCTTTGAAGCGGTGTTGCTCGGTTTGACCGGAGCCGGTGCGCGCGCGGCTCAGTGACTTTGCTGCGTCCCACCCTGGGCAGGTCTGGGGACGTCGCGGTCCGCCATCGCGCTGAGGCCACGGCTGCGTGGTTGCGTCAGCAGAGCGCGCGCGGCGGAGGTTGTTGGGACCTCCAGCGGAAGAAAGAAAAATAAACGTGTTGGTAGTGCGGCCAGTGCCCCCCACACCTTCTACACAGATAAATCAGGGTCCTTGCGAGAGGATTGTTGTTGCTTGTATTTAACGTGCAATGAAAGAGGGGGATAAAGTTCAACTTCATAATATAAATACTTTATATGATATTGGTTTCCCAGTTTGCATTTCGTCTGAATGTCCAAGGAGCCAAAAAGCGCAAACTCAATTCAACCATCAAATAGGCTACTGATTGCAAGTCTCACCATTGACGTCATCGCCCGTTACTCTTCTGCGTGCATTTGTGCTTAACAGCCGTGGAACGGAGTAGCCTACTTATTCATACAAGGCACTTTTAAATGGGACAGCGTAGTTACAGATATTCTAGTTGGATGCTCAGTTGAATTGGTCTAAAGAAGAAGTTTTTTTCAGTGGAAAATCAAAAGTTTTAGACAGAACAGGATAACGGGCTATACCGTGAATTTCAAAAGGAGCTCATTATGCTGCCCAAACACCACAGCTTCCGACGGCGAAAGCCATTGAAACGGTAATTTTCAATGGCAGTGAGAATACAAATATCCTAAACAAAAGTTGAATAAACTATTCGGTGTGTTTTTGTTACAATGCGATGGTTTTGTGTCGATCTAGTGCGCTGTGACGATTCATCAGCATACCAACAGCGACACCTACTGGACAAACTGTGGTAATGCATTTGGCCGCCAAGCGTATAAATAGATATATTCGATTAATAAAAAAAGGTATCAATGATAGTAAATCGACCTGAATATTCAAACCGAAATTTGACAAGAAAGTAATTCAACGAACTGTTGGCCGTGAACCGAATAGAACAGAGAAGGCTATCAACTGTTAACTGTTGGACCAATGATGCCGTTGGTAGTTTAACCCTCGACATTAGGGACGTTAAAATAACAGACAGAGATACCGAAAATGTATGATATATAATTAAAATATGTAATATTCAAATTTACTTAAATAACCCAATTTCGACTTTCGAAGAAGAACCTCATCAGCCTACCACACGCTACTTAAGTTAATAACTAAAGTAAGCTAACGTTAATTAATCTAACGTTTACAAAAATTAATAGAAGTTGTTGTTAACCGATTGGTTGCACACAACAAACACACCAAAAGATTGTCTTTTCAAGTAGTTTTTGCGATGTACTTTTAAAACACAAGCAAATTAAAATAGACCCGCAGTTACGGCGCACAGACAGGGATACAAGCGGAACCTTTTCTCGCCGGCTGTTGATGCGCCCGGTGCTTTTACTCTGCAGTACTAGAGACGGACCAACGGCAGAAACAAATCCGGCTGTCACGGATTCTTAACAAAAACCGGAATTAAAGACAAAATTGGTCCTGACATACTTAAGAAAGATATTTATGACAGCTAATCTACGTTTCGTCTTTAACGTTTTTCATTCGGATCTCCCGCTCGCGTCGTCCCTGACGGCACGCTAAGGTTATAAACAATAACAACAATGGCTTCTGGGTCGCCGTCGTCCTCTCCGGACACTGCGACGGGATCAGGTACAGATCCGGCCCGGCCAGACACAGGGGAGCCTCTCGGTGGAGCAGGCTCGGACTCTGACTCAGATCTGGGCTTGGGTAAATTTGATTGCAGCGCCATGGAAGCGGGGGACCAAATGGAGGGAGAGGACCTGGAGCGGGAGTTTCAGTCTGCAGCTGACCGGGTACGAGATCTGGTTCAGACGGCCAGCAGGGACCAGCTGCTGTACCTGTATGCACGATACAAACAGGTGAGTGAATAAATGCCGCTGAATATAACCCATCGAATAAGTGCACCGCGGGACTAGATAATAACCACATACCTCACATGCCATACATCACTGTGTCAATCACTAATTTTTGACAGTGGAGATTAAATAAGCCTAGAAACCTCTACTTTATCTCCTGGTGTAATTACGTGTGGATAATACGAGACTAAATGAATAATCGAGACTGTTTTTGTTTTCAGGCTAAAGTTGGAAAGTGCAGTACCCCAAAACCTGGCTTCTTTGACTTTGAGGGACAGAGAAAATGGTATGTAGCCTCAATTTGGAAGCCAGTTATTAATACACTGTATTACACGTGCTTTTTAAATGTCTTCTGTCCTGAATGTGCTTTCAACTTCAAATGATGGCTCACATTAAATTTTCTTCACCGTTTAAGTGTGTTATTTTGATTATTTTTCTTTATTGACAATCTTTGTCAAACATTACAGTGATTGTGATCTCATTACAGGCAAGCTTGGAAGCAGCTTGGGGACATGGAAGTGGATCAGGCAATGCAGGAGTACATTTCCTGTGTTAATGTGTTAGACCCTGAAGGCTGCACAAAGGTAAAAAGAACCATCCCCGAGAAGTCTAAGCTAAATACCAAGACCAATCTTTATTATAAACTACGATATATGTTTTTTCTACGGTTTGGTATTATTCGGAGCACCAATATAGAGGATTCAGTAGGGCAGGGACAGTAATAATGCCCCCTTACGGTAATTATATAAACATTACAGAGCGTAAGCTGGTGGCAAACTTGTTGAAAGGAAAAAGCTGACATCTTCCTAGTAAATCTACTTTTCTACTTCTTTCCTACCTGATTATAGCATTCTGCTAAATGGCAAATTCCAACAATCTTTATTCTTATTCAAGCAAACCTTTAGCTGTATTTAATATTAGCATCAGGTAAGTAGAAAAATGATGACCAAAATATAAATTTGCTGCCCTATTCTGATGCAGTGAGTTTTCTTGCCAGTAGAGGTCAGAGTCACAGTATATTTTTGTCCCAAGCCTTTCAGTGGCTCTTTATTCTGTACTCAAAGCATGAAAAATACATGGGACGGTTATTTTGTGTTCCTCAATAGCTGCATTTTGGAATATGAATAATGCAAGGGACTGTCCTAGTTAGGTGTGCCTGTGTGTATCAGTACATAAGACAGACTGTTGACATGTCCCTTTGGTCATATCAGTCAACTGTGTCAGTATGGTAATGTTGCCAAGGGCCAGCTGTTCTTTGGGGAATCAGCAGGCATTCACTTATAATAATAATAACAACAACAACTGTACCGTCTACTTAGCTTGGCAGAGTATTATTATTGGGACACTAAGAACAAACTTGTCAGCTGGGATTTTCACATCAAAGTGTACTGTGACTGCTGAGTAAATATGAATTCAAATATTTAACACTGCACATTAAGATAGTTTTGATTCATCTACACGTGGAAGGTTTTACATAAAAAATACTGTTTGAAAATTGAGATGATTCCTATTAGGCGAACAATAAGGAAATTGTTTTCTGAATTTAGGCTCCATTATTTTGGGGAGTGGCTGGACCATTCTGCTAATTTGTGGGATTTTTGGGCTTCCAATTACCTTCGCTTGTAATTCACATCTGCGTGTTGCTGTTCACATGAGCCAAAACATCTGGACAAGAGTGCGTGGATACCTTCTGCAATTGCAGCATATTCTCCAAACAAGGGAATGGATTGACAGTCACCGGATTCTCCACAAGCACCGCCCAGACGGATGAAGTAGTTTGTTTTCTGTAACATTAAAAAGCCAAAGAATACACATATGTGTGCATCCAGAGGCGCGTCACATGTCCTGTGTGACCTACCTCTTCCTTGCTCCACCTTTCCCTCTTTGTTCTCCACCTTTATGCTGCCTTCTTTTCCTCTATTAATCTGCTCCCCCCGCCCTCCCTTATGTGTTCTGTAACCCCTTCACTCTTTCATTAACCCAACCCTGTTTCAATCCCTTCCTTCCAGATTTATGTCTCTTTAATAGTGTCAATGTCAACCCGCATGTCAAATTCTGACACGTTCTTTTCTCTGCGCCCGTGCCGCCGGGGCAATACGCGCTGACTCTGCCCCACAGCCGCACAATGCCAGGAGAGAGCCGGGCAGGCAGGCGAGCGAACGCACAACTGTCCCCCTGAAAAGAAGCTGATCGTATTAGTGTTAACAAAGCGCCGCAGCATGGCAGTTGCTATTCTTTGGGAACCTCAGTCAAATGGTGTAAGTAGGAGTGCATAGACCGAGAAGCAGGGGAGAGAATAATAGCACGAATTTGACCTCTGTTCCTGCCTCAATTGTTGAGCAGACACTGGCTTTATATTACATTATACTGAAGAGGAGCAGGGCCAGTGCATCAGCGAATATTCTGAGTTTCTGAAGTGAATTAGGTCGTCCCAGAAGTTCACGTACCGTTGTTTTGCTTCGCTTGTCTTGTTCTCCCCATTTTCTGAAATCAGATTTGTGTGGGTTCTTCTTTTGTGAATCGAGGTTAGTCGGTGAAGAATAGGCTGGATAATAAAGTCCCAGCTGAAGTGAACGCGGAGCACAGAAGATTAACAAGAGTCACAATTAAGGCGCTGCGCATTTTATATTGGTCTTGTGCATGTTGTTGGACGTCTACGAGCTATGAGGTCATGTCTGAAGCACTAGAGGCTTCTTTCAAAGTTGCACATTTCGATCTTCATCTGGGTCGTGCATTAGATCTCCACAGGCTGTAGGTTCAAATCTATAGGCACGTTGCAAAGATGAACCAACCCGGTTGTGTAGACATGGACCACATTTGTCAATGTGGGTTAACAGCACAAGCTGCAGAACTAAGCCAAACCAGACTACGTGGCTCTTTCACACTCATTGAACAAATATCCATATGCATCGGGTTGTATACAATTTCGGTTCACAGTGTTTGTTTGTCAATGTGTTCCTGTCTTTGATTTGACAGGAAAGACGAGGCGCAGAAAGAAGAGCGGGCTTCGGAGCGGCGGTTAGCTCTCTATACCAGGAGGAGATGATCAGGTATTTACATCAGAAGTAACACTTCCACACAGAAACGGACAACCATACGTCAGAACCTGCCTATTACATTTATTACAAGGGGAAAAGCAGCTCTTAGACACACATTGTGCATTATTGACTTGATTGTGCTGGAACAGACTCAGCTTTTTGCTTCAGCTGTAAATCACTTATTTAATGCTTAGGTCAACCTGATCTAAGTCTGGCTTTGATGCTGTATCGGATTCTATTCAACTGACCGTAGCTCCATTCAGGGTCCGGTCTCCAGCTACGGCACCGTCTCGTCATGCAGTTCTGATTTATGTTAATGAAATATATTCTCCATTTACTTCAGCCTGACCGACTCACTCGAGCTTAAAAAGCTCATCTTCATTTCAATGAAAAAGAGCTCTTTTTAGGAGATGAAAAGGAGATGTGTGAGTCCTGCAGGTTTTCCTCCTAAATGGCTGTATGTGATTAGTATGCACGGCCTTGGAAAGAGGCGGCCAGAGTCTCCCCTTTTCTAATCACGTTACGATTCGGGAGGTACTATGGGGTGGAGGGAGGGGGCTTGAAGACGTGCCGGATACAGCAGACGGAGCGAGGTGCGTCGGGTTTCCCCAGAAGGACGCTCCCCACCGGAGACATCCACTAGCAACTCTGCCCCGCGGGGGGGGGGGAAGCCGGCGAGGAAGAAGTTGTTAACATGGCACATGCACACACCTATGCACTCGCGTGCCCACATAAATACACACTTGCCTCTGTATGTCAACGCGATTGCATCCAAATCCGTGCATAACCTGCCAGAACTGTCACACTCACTGCTCTGCTGCATTTCAATTTCCTCCCCCACACACACACAGAATGTGAGATGAGCAATGCAATTAACTCTGTCTGGTTAACAGGTGCTTAGCTGTTTAATATGGAGTGAGCTTGTGCGTGTGTGTTTGTGTGTGTCGACCGAAGCAGGATTGATTAGCAATATCCCAGAGCTACCGAGCTGATCAGTGTGCGATTGAAGAGGCTTTGAATGCTACGTTTGTAATTCTCTCGCCCTCCTGGAAAAAGTACTTTGATAAACGCTGGAGGCTTCGATGTCTGGACATTATTTGAGTTCTCATTGTTCCTCGTCTGTGGAGCTCAGCCATGTTAGGCGTGTTGTCTCACAGGGGAGGAGGTGTGTGTGATGGATGGATGGCGTGGTGTTGATCAGTGAAGCTCAGGCCAGGTAGATGAGTGTTCTCACCACTGTGGCCAGTTTATCCTGATGGATGAAGGACATATCTGCCAGTATACCGGACTGGACCCCCCCCACACACACACACACACACACACACACACAAACAAAACAAGCTCACATACATACTGAAACGCACACAAAACCACAGCTATTGTGATGACAGAGTAGCCTGTGACCTTCCCAGCATGCATTGCATGCATGTGTTGTTGACGTTACGTCGTTATATGACCCACATTAATCATTTTGCTTGTTTACAGCCTGTGTGTGTGTGTGTGTGTGTGTGTGTGTCTCACTGGGCTACGGACTAAATACACGTGTCTGTTGTGTGCGATTGTACATTTCACACGTGAGCTTATTTTGGAAGTTGTGTGTTTAATATAACCGTACACTACATTAGACTCACGCTCGCGCTTTATAAATGTGAGGATGTGTCATGCGCCCGTCAGGCCGGCCCCGTCCGACCGTCGACGAAAGACTGATGAGCTGGCCTATTGATTAGTTGCCGGGGAGACGGATGGTGGCCACACATCAGGGACACTCGGGGTCACCGTGGGCATCAGAGGAGGAAGTGGGTGTGGCCCAGCGTGGAGGCTCATGAATAAACATAGCGCTGGTAATCAGGAGTATGTAAATGGATGTGCTCATACATAACCCAGCAGTGATAAAAGTGTAATGAGTTATTCATAATCCATCACGGGCTGATGAGGAGATGGCGGGAAGAGGGAGGGGAGGGAGGAGGGAGCCGGGGGGAGATAAAGCGTGTAGATAAAACGATGAAGAAAGGGAAGTACAGCGGTTCATTAAAGAACAACCGGCAGAAGAAACTTTTGTTTGTGTAACTTCACCGCAAACAATGAAAAGTGCTCATCGTGAGTAAGATGGTTTTATCTCCACTGTGGGGAGTTAGGAGTTGATCCAGCTGTGTACGTAGAATCCTCTAAACTTTGAAGTGTTAAGCCCACATCCTGTCACATCTTTAATTGCGATTAATGTAGTTCGGAGCTGACTATCTATACAAAAACCAACACAATGTTGTGTGAAATAGCCTGTCTGCTCTATTCCACTCATTCCACCTCTTTTACATGCAATTGTAATGAGTTTTGGGGTAAAGTTGGCCCTTTATTTCAGGCAAAAACATGAAACCTTTTTTGCATTTTTTCTTCCCAGCCAGACCGTCTGAGTTGTTCTGATCAGAGCGCCGTACGGGAACTGGAACCCTAACTACGATAGTTGTTAAGACCACCTACTTGACTTCCCCAGTCATAATGGGACAACAGCCCACCGTATCCCCCAGTGTGTCGAGGGCCAGGTGTATGCTGGGGGATTCGTGAAGCCCGGCGCAGTGGAGCGACGGGCGTCACAGGCGGGAACTGGGGGCTTTTGGCACTTGGGGAGGACTGACTTACCGCGTGGGAGTGGGAAAGCGGCTGGGATGCGGCGTCTCTGTCAGACAATAGGGCACTAAATTCAATTAATCTGAATGGCCGGCAGGAGGGGGAGGGGAAGGCGTAAAGCTCTAAATGAGATTTAGCCCCTTCTCTCCCCTTCACCCAACAGCCCACCACCCCTGCACCCTGCTCCCCCCCCCCCCTCCAGCACTCACTCCTGTCCCCAATGCCAGGAGGTGATTAGAGACAGAGATATAATCAGAGGTGGGATAGGATGTGCGTGGTTGCGTGTGTGTCGCGTGCCAGTGTTCCCGCGGGAGGTGGCACGTGTGGCTCTGCTGCCTGTGTGTGTGTGTGTGACACAGAGAGACCAGTTGTGTGTTTGCGTTATCTTTTACGTCTGTGCTGTTGACGACTAAATGATCTAGTAGCACGGCGTGGCTTTCCTGGGCGTCGAAGGTGTTAATGCAGTTAAAGGATCGCTTCACACAAATGACAGAAAACGTATTTTCTCAGTTTACGCTGGATCTTAGAATACATACTGTCACCATTAATCTGGTTGTAAGTAGCTCCGATGAGAACTGCTCGCAGTGAGGTTTGTGGATTGTTCAGAGCAAACAGGACTGAATGTGTAAAAATACCTCATCCATTCACCTCCATTGGGGGGCTGGAAGCTCCTCAAATCTCACACATATCTCAAAACATAGGAAGTCATCTGATTCTTTATCCACAAACGGAAAGAAAATAATGAAGTGAACTGTGTTCTCCTCATGCCCTTCTCTGTGTCCCTCCCAGGGAAGAGGATAGGAACATCTTTGACTACTGCAGAGAAAATAACATCGACCACATCAGCAAGGCCATCACCTCCCAGAAAGCGGACGTCAATACTAAAGACGAAGAGGTAACTACGGAGCGCACTGCCTAGAAATAAGTCAATGGAAACGGTACTGATGCCATGTGAGAATGGCTGTTTAAAAGTTTAACTTTCAAGGATGTGTAACTGCCATGACAACGCTGTCATGGCAGTGTGTCGGTATTGGGCAACAGGGGGGCGGAGAGGATGGGGAATTTATGCATCCTTGGGATCCATTCTCAACCCCCCCCCCCCCCCCCCCGTAGCAAAGCACAGAGTCCGTACACTCCGCAGCGTCATTGGTATGTGCTTTTACCCCTCGTGCAGGAGGGCCGGTTGAAAATGACCAGAGTATCCCAAAAAAATGTACAGGTCACTCTGGGACGGCTCACGCTGCTCTCTTTGTGGTCGTTACGTCACGGTGTCAACGATCCCGACCACCTGCACGCGGGAACCGCTCCGCCGGCCGAGACGAGTAAATGGTGTGAGCAGCTTTTACCACGGCGAGGTGTCTTCTGGATTGACCGTGGTATCCGTTCATCTGCCCCCGATTCGTCATCGGCCAGGCCAAACGGCTCACCCCCCTTGCCTCCCTTTCATCGCAGCCGTTCTTCAGATGAGCGGGCTGTCGGCCCGCGGGTTCCCAGTCAGAGCCCAGATAGTCGAGGCACCTCGGCACAGAGAGCTTTGCGCGTCCGTTGCAGCGCAGCTCGCCCGACAGCAGAGGGCAATGGTGAAGTAAGTTTTGAAATCAGCAAGAAGCCGGATATTTGAGCAGGTGGCCAAATATCTACCTGGGATACATGTATTTGTAGGTGTGGAAACCAAATCTAATATAATGCATTTCTATTGGAGGCGTGTGGAAGACGTGCACGGCTGATGAACTCATCCTGAAAATACAATTTTTTAAAAACTGAAAAGGAGGTAAACAAAAGGAGTTATTCATTGATCAGAAAGGATTGGTGATTAAGCCCAATTAAAAACATCAACAGTAAACGTAATTCGATAAAACATTTATGGAAGGTGTGTACTTCTCATAAATGGAAAGGAGGACATCATATTATTTAGTAGGTAATTAATATAAAAGTGGTATTAGTAGAAATAAACATATTTAAGTAATACTTAAAGGAATTGTGGATGGAAGTATTTCGATTGTGTATTGCTTCCTAAAGAGTGCGCTCAGATGTTGAATTGTCAATCAAGATAATCATCGTGTATAGTTCTGTGGTGCATTCCTTCAGTGTGAGAGCTGCTGGCCAGTTTATACAGTACCAGTTAAAAGTTTGGACACTTCTCTTTCAAGTGAATGAGAAAATGACCACAAATAACCCAAATGCTCATTTTTAAATCATGAACAATAAACTGCAAACGTCTTTGAATCGGTTCATTGGAAGCACAAACCTATCATCACAGGAAGGTTTATTATTGACCACAATCGTGCAATTGTCTCTCATAAACATCCAATATTCAACATATATACACATAAAACAGTTTACTGTTTGTTTGGTATAATTAGGAAAAGTTTGCATAACTGTACGTTTCCAATGTGACTTTAGCATTATATCACTGCATGTATATACGCTGGATACTTTCGGTTTCCCACAAACTCAAACATGCCAAACCACAAGTGTGCATCGACGCAGAGCCGAGGGGGGAGAGGAGAGGGAGAAGGGGAGGGAGAGGGAGAAGGGGAATGTACATACATTTAGCGTACACTGACCAGGTGTGCTTGATGTGCCCGTTTGTGTTGCTGCTTAGAGACGTTCCTCCCTTTTACCGCTGTAACGGCCGATCTTTCTTAACAGCGATGCTTCTCTCCTCCCTTTCAAATGAGGATAAAGGAGGCTTTTAGTCAGCTACCCACTCGAGTGGAGAGTGCTTAACATTTATCACCTGTGGTTTACCTTCCTGGATGGGACCATTTCCGCTCTAATCAGAACAAACTCTTCTCAATGCCCGAACTGGCTCGCACAAACTGAATGTTTCTCTTAATAGTGTTTTCTCAGCTTTAAATGCTGCACATGTTCCATTTTATACATTCAATGTTTTATTTAAGCAGCCCACTTCATTTGTGTGTGTGTGTGTGTGGGGGGGGGTCTTCTGGAATAGTAAACTCTGGTCTTCAGGGAGGATGTTGCCAGCAGTCAGCAGCAGAGACACCTGGGGAGGGGAAGGGGAAGGGGGAGGGGAGAGAGCGAGAGACTTATTGGTATTCTGTCCCGGCGCATAAGTTTCCATTTTAACAGGCAGCCTTGGTGATCAATATGATTTAAGGAACAGAATTGAACTTGGAGAGTTTGCTTTACCTAATTGGCCCCACTGAAAAATGAGCTTGCGTGGTTTTATTAGAACAAGGATCTTGGACCTGAGGAGTAGTCTGTGTGTGAGAGAGATCGAGTCGTGGATCAGAGGGCTTCTCCTAATTTGAGTCTCATCCATCAAGCTTTACAGATGTGTGCAGGTGACTCGTCAGCCTGTACTCCAACCACCTAACTGCACTTCTTTGCTCACATGTTCACGTCAAACACGCGTGTCGTAGAAGTTGACTTTGAGGAGTATGCGGTAGGGGAATGTGCACTATGCATTTCTGGTGTAAATATGAACATGAGATAAACAAGCCAGTTTAGTTTTCCTTCCAACCTGTTCTTATGCTGCCACGTGCACTTGTTCACAGGGTCGAGCTCTGCTGCACTGGGCCTGTGACCGAGGACACAAGGAGATGGTTTCTGTATTGTTGCAGCACAAAGCAGACATCAACAATCAGGTGAGCTGCGTTTTGCCTCTTTCTGTGATAATTAACCGCTAAATCAATGAGCCAATACGCCAAACAAGACACTAATTACCCAGAACGTCAAGTTATTGCCATTAAAGAGCAAAAGTCGGGCGTCCAACTTTAGGCATTCTAGTTTCTATTCATTTTATTATTTTTGACGTGCTATATGGGCTGAAAGCACCAGTGTTGCTCTTAAGCTTTTGAAAGCCTTCAACGAAGAAACCGCCAATGGGGAAATAACTTTGTAGAACGACCACTCGCACATAATTGGGACCAGAGTTTGGATCTCGATGACATTTTGAGATTACACCTCAGCAAATGCATGAATTGAGAGCTGCAGTCAGTTATTTTTAGGTGGTGGCAGAACATCAACATTCATACAGTGCAAAGTTTCACCCTGGGCTCTGCTTCACCAGAGCACTTTAGCATGTTTGTTTGATCCTCTGAAGTTAAAGATGATCCGTTGCAACATTTGTGTTTTAACGTATAACCGAAGGATTTAGGGTGAAATCTCAAGGTTGCAGGAGCCGTCTCGTTTATTGCAACAGTGTTATGCACATGTTCACCTGCATGCTCAAGGCAAACGGTGACATCTCCAGGACTCCCAACTGCCCTTCTCTGCTCTCTCTCCCTCCCTCGCTCTCTCCCTCTCCATCCCGTCCAGAAGGTCACCTTTAATTCACTTTGTGCCACAGACAAATCCCCCGGGGCTTTAGCAGACAGAGTTAGCCGGTGGCTAGCGTGGTGTTTTGCCTCCACGAGGTTTAGCAGCATCCAGGAGGGCTTTAGCTTTGGCGGTAAGCTGGCTCAGCTGCACATCGGAGAAATTACTCCACTTCCCTGCCCAGCGGCGCGACACAATGCAGCTCACCGGGCCGCACACGGAGGCTTTAACTGTAAGGCCGAATCAATTGGAAGTAATCAGGCAAATTGTTTTACGTTGCACAACCCACATAATCAGGACATTTCACAAATGACTTTCTCTTTTGTGGTCATGCATGGCCCCTTTTGTTTTGAATGTTCACAGGGAGCAAGGGGTCGTGGGCGGGGGGGGATTTGTGGTGAATGGTTCATAAAAGACTCACCAGTGGGATAACTACAAAAAAACACTTCACTAATGATTTAGAGCCGTATCAAGATAATGACAGCGGAGGAGGATTGATGGTACGTGTTATCCTTTTGTAAGATGCACCCTCTTTACAGTCATGTATCTATTGGTAAAGTAGAAATTGAGAGGCCAGGGCGCCAGGATGTATCAGCGGGTAGCGATGGGTGGATGAAGTTCGGTAGACTTTTCATTTATATCGTTCTCATCTTTGCCTGATTTGACTAATTTTTTTGGTTCTGAAAAGAGATAGATGGAAAAAATCCAATGCTTCTTCAATAATCTTAAATATTTTGCATTGGAGTGAACAGAGACAGGATGGAATAATCTAAAAGTCCTTTCAGGTGTGTTTAAATTATTTTAGGTTCTGCTTTATGATAGTGCCTTTTTCAGCAACTTTGTGAAGGATGGATAACAGGGGGGGGGGCATAATTTAGGTGTCCAAAGTGCAAACATTTCCTGAATTCGTGCATTCAGGCAATCGGGACCGTTTCACCTGCCTTCCTCACAGAGGTTGGAGGAAGTATTAAAGCCACTGGAGCCCCGCAGCGTTACTGGGGGACATTAGGCATCAGATTCATGAGGTGGCTGAGCGAAAAATATAGTGCGCTGAATCCCACCCCTCCCTCGCTTACAGAGCGATATGCTTGTCATTGGAACCTGCTCACGCTGCCTTTTGGTTTGTTTTTTTACTTTGGATAAATCTGCCAAGGAAAAGAAGTTAAGACCACTGTTTTATATTAGAGAAAGACAAACACTTGATGGAGCAGCTTTGAGCTTTTGTCCTTTTTTCCTAAAGCTGCCACGAGAAACGGCGTATGGGGAGTTTTGTGTGTTCATGAGAGTAATAGAGAATGTTTGGGGTTGCTCGCAGGCTATTAGAGCGACCAGTAATCTCTCTTGACCTCTAGCAACTGCACAGCAACCAGTAAATAAAGATCAAACATGATTTATGCTTAATTTGTTGATTAAAAAGGGGAGGGGGACTTTGAGAGTTAAAACAAAAAGTATTATTATTTGCTTGGCAGAGGAGGAAAATCGTTTGAAATTAATCAACTGATTGTTTAAGTGAATTGTTCCCAAACCCTGGTAACCTGAATTAAAAGCTCGTTTGATAGTTAATCCTGGATCAAGGCAGGGATAAACTACAATAGGTAGTTGTGTGTGTGTGTGTGTGTGTTTGAATACACACATCACAGCTCCGCCACCTGCCAATTGTAGATCAGGCCCTGGTACTGCACATTAACCCTCACCCTCACCGTATCACTGCGCCCTCAGCTAATACACCCCCCGAGGAAGTGGGGCACAAACTGTGGGAAAGATGAGAGTAAACCTCACCAAATGTAATAATGCAAATTAGGGCTTGGACACTGGATATTCTGTGTGCTAGAATGTATCTAAGAGCATTAAAAGGCATCAGCTTAAGTTTAGGACATTCCATCAGACACCGATGACATCACCACCACGGTTCCTTTAACTGTAACAAGTGTCTTTGTTGTAATAAAGCACGGTGTCAGATTATTTTATAATTTGGGTATTTTCAGGCCAGCTAACATTCTCCCTCTAATTTCTGCAAGTGAAAATTAAAATGGGCAATTTGGGCCGTCTCAAATATTTGGTCTGGTTTCGTTCCGTGTGAACCAAGAGTTACCGGTCCGGATGTTTGTTTGTGTGTGTCCGCTCCCCCTGTGGTCCTTCTCTGTTCAGACCGTGTAATCCCACACCTACACAGGTGGAAATCCTACCTGCAACCCCCTTTCGATCCCTCCGACCAAACTGCAAGGTTGCCTTGGAAATCCGCATTTGTAGAAAGGACATGTCCGTTCGTGGGAAGTGGAGTCCAAATGGGCTTTGGTTTGGAGATGCTGCAGACCTGCAACAAAGGTCAGGAATGGTCTGGAGTAGATTAGTACAATGTCTGATTTACTGAGAGGGTAAGTGACTGAGCCGGGATTAAGCTAACAAAGAGGAAGGACAGGTGAGACGCAGGTTAACGCAAAACAAACACGGTGCCGGGAAGGAAACATTGTTGAGGTTTAAAGAAGCCGATTGGAGGAAAAGGCGGTGCCGTTTTAAGCAAATGGTCGTGTCTCTCATCCTGTCACTCGACTCATGCCTTCGTTTTCTGCCTCTCTTTCTGTCTCCATCCTTCCCCTCTCCTCGTCGCCCCCCCACCCCCTCCAAAGCTCCCATCCCCTTCACTCCATCCGTCCCACGCCTCCGCCTCTACTTTGTATTAAAACAACATGATCCATGAGGCGGGGAGGGCAACTCGCAGCACCGCTAATTCTAATTAATCCAGCGTGGTAGCGCGGCCGCGGCGGGCCCCAGGCGCTCCCAGTCTATCAGATAGAAATTCATAACTTAATTGAGGTCAGAGCCTCGAGCCGGCAGAACAAAAGTCTCCAGCCAGGACCAGCTAGATCAATAGTAATAAATATCTGACTGGGCGGCCTGCAATTGGTGGCTAGAGAGCGCACAACTAGTCGCACACACGCAGTCTGCATGTGGAACCCGCAGGAAGATCTGTGAGTGGGGGAAAAAAAATCTGCTTTCCAGATTGGCAGACTGGCACATATGTTATTGATTTATCAATTAATGTAGAGTTGTCTTATCTTAGTTGGGTTGTAGTATTCTTCGTGTACTTGTGTGTAAAATGGAGCGAGGCAGCTGTGCACATATACTGTATATACACAGAGCGTATGTGTGGCTGATTTGTGAGGGCACAGACTCCCTTAAGGTATGGATCCATTGACTTGATATTGATACGAGTGGTCAGGGTGGACTCGGGCTACAAGCAGTGACTCAGAGAGATCTCAAATGATAAATGAACTTGGGGAATCGATATGATATAAAGGGACGTTTCCTCTGAACAGTCACATTTTTACATGAGCTGCTTCAGTATCTCTTCTTCACATAATAATAAGTTGACCGAACTGATGTAACTTCTGATATTAGGTCACTGCACATGTGTCAGTGTTGGTGGAAACTTTGGCTGGTAAGTAAAAAGACATTGTGGTCCAAAATACCAAATATACACAAGTTAGAAATAATGTAGCAACAGTGTCTTCTTCACCAGAGAGCGTTTTAACACAATCCGTAACCACAACTTTTATCAAAAGTGTGTGTATGTGTTGTGTACATAATACATTAAAGACAACGTATTTCAAGATTAAATTCCTAATACTGACATGTACATAGATACAGACAGTTCCAGTTAGTTAACAGTTATTAGTTTCTGTCCCGTTAGGGCTTTAACCAATAGTCATTTTATATATAGATCAATCGCTACGTGTGTATAATCTGAGACACTATTTGCTTGATTTTTCAAGCACAATACAAATCATTATTTAGGTTGAAGCCATCAAATAATCTGCATTTCTGCTTCATTAATAACTTGAACAAAGGATCTGCTACGTAAATGTTTGCTTTTTTTTTCATTCTGAAATGAGCAAATTACACAAACTGTTCTTTCTCCAAAAAATAAGGTGTTCTTGACTTGTGACAAAATTTTCCATTTTATTTAAACTGAACAAATCATTAGCATTGGCGTCTGTTCGTGCTCATTCTTCATAAAAGAGGCATAGTAAACCTGTATCTATTCGTGACATTTCTCATTGAAGTCAACAACAAAAACGAACGCTGCAACAGTTACCGTGGATATTTTGCAGCTCTACTCGGAACATTTTAGAGCGCTTTGAATTCAAGCATAGCATGCTAGTGTAGCTGACAAAGAACACTGAACCATCTCAACTGTGTCCTTTATGGGGGTGTCAACTAGTTGTGTGATCAAAACAAACACACACACACACACACTCCGGGGTGGCTGATTGAAATTCTATGGTGGAGGCATTATTACACGTTTGTATCCCTCCCCTTTCCCAGC